CACCATGATTAGGGTTTTCGGCCCTCTTTAGGGTTTCACGATTTTCAAATGATAAATGGATTTGAAAAACATAGGACGATTGAAAAACTCAGTAGCAATACAATGGTGCAATCAATTTTGTGAAATTTTGCCGTTTGGATGAAGTTTGTGTTTCGCAGGGTGGAAGAACTCGTAACAATATTCGTAGGAGAAAACGTTGCAAAATCCGCAGGTAATGGGAGGAAGAAGAAGGCCAGTTCGCGCCTGTTTTCAAATTCAAATTCTACTAAAAAAATAATATGAATTGTTCCTGGATATATTTCACAATTGTATGCTTAGCCTGATGGTTGTTGTGCTTCCTGGAAATCAAGCTGGCCTGGGTTCAAACCCCAGCCAGGTAAGTTTCTGCTTTTTTTTCTTTCCTTTTATTTGATTTAAATATTATAATATTAAAAATTAAATATATTATGTATATTTCTCAATAATAAATAAATAATAATAAAATATGTCTGTTTTCTTTAATTTTAAAAAATATGTTTTTTTTTTCACAAATTTTATTTCTATATTTTATGTCTAAATTGTAATATGTATAAATTAGAAAACTTTTGTATATAACTAAATCCTATTTTTTCTATATATAAACCCTAAAAATTTATTTCTCATATAAACCCTAATTTCATAAAACTCTAAAAATATTTTTAATACAAATCTAATCCTATTTTTTTTTAATGTTATTTTCTAATATAATTATTATATATGTATGTTTACTATAATTCTTACAAATTTTCGTAAATATACTTATAAACATTTTTTTTACATAACTTTAGTTTATAAATAATTGTGCTTATAATAATTAGATTTTTTGTAGTAACTTCATGATTAAAATATAATTTAATAATTTGTAAATTAAAACAATTGTTTATTCATATTTGTTTTTTAGTTGATTATATTAAAAAATTGTTAATTTCTTATTATTATAATATTTGGATTAATTTTGTTTATTCTTATTCACTAACCCATTTATATTCTAATCATGCTTATTATTTTGTTAAATATTGCTTACTAACCCCTTTATTATTTATTATTGCTTATTTATATTTTATTTATCTTTGCTATTTAATTATTTTGCTTATTATTTTGTAATTGTTTCTTGGATGTAAAGTTGTGTAATTATTTAATTATTATTATCATTATGGTTAGTAATTAGGGAGTGCTAATATGTATGATATTTAAAAAAATAAATTAGATCATTTTAATATAAGATAATTAAATTAAACATTTCACACACGTAAGTCGATTTTAATCGCCGTCTCACTTCCTAAGGATATCCCTCAAGTTGCCTATGAATATTGGTTAAGTGGGGTGTATAAAGCAAGTCCCTCAAAAAGAAAATCATCAAAGTCCCTTATGGTTGCCTTTACGAATCGAGTCCCTTTCGAAAAATGATGATAGTCCCTCCAGTTTGCTTATTACACCCCACAATGGCCTTCAAAAATCCAATTGTCCCTTACATGTCCCTTAACATCCAAAGTAAGGACTACCTACTCCATTATAGTAGGGATAGTCTTACTAAGGAAAGGATAAAGAATAAGAAAGACCTTAAAACATTAGGGTAGGCTACTCCTAGATACTTGCTCACTTCAAAACTTTTTCACACTTAAACAAATTTCCAACAAAATTTTCAAACAAGTTTTTTTCACATCCATACACGGATTATTATTAAACTATTCTGAAATTTTTTGCTATTCACACACTACACTTTCAAAACAATTCAAAAGTGAGCTTAAGTACCTAAGAGCCCATGGATAACCATGGATGAAAAGGGTGCTAACACCTTCCCTTTTCATAACCTACCCCCCGGACCCAAAATATTCTCTAAGGTCTTTCCTGTTCTTTTATAACCTTTCCTTATGGATAAAATAAAAGTCGGTGGCGACTCTTGCTATCCGCAACATTGTTTAAAGTCAGTTCTCCCACCGTGTTACAAGGGGCTCGCTCATTTATACCCCTGTGCGGGACTCGAAGCGTCGCTAGACACTTGAGTACCCTAGGGTAGCCGCCCTAGCAGCCACCCAGAACGCGACACGTGGTGGAAGCAGACAGATGCGCCTCTTCACCTCTCCCCGCCAATACCCGTCTTCGAGCCCGGACAATCAACGACGTGGAACACACGTCCTCGCACGGAGGAATCCTCCCCGAACCAGTCCACTTCCCCGGAACGACGTCATCAAGTCCTCACTTCCATCATCGGAGCAACGACTTGGGGGGCTCCTGTTCTGGCTTGGGCCCCGGACCGACTATGCTGGCCCAGCCTAATAATGTTCCACCAAGCCCTATCCAGTCCGGGTATCGCGTCGGGCACAAGGTCCCCGACACACAAGAAAGATCTCCCCGCAAGGAAGAACTGTCCCAACCACGCCGGGCAAGAGAATCGCCCACACGACCAAGCACCGCCCTCCGCGGGCGGTATACCCCATGCCGTCGAGCAGGACCCCCGTGGCTCTCCCACGTCCACGTGTGCTCCCCTCCTCGGGGAGAACAACGTGCATCCGGGGAACCTCGCGAGCTCCCCTCCGCGGGGAGAACAACGTGCCACGCGCACGTTCTCCACGTGCTCCCCTCCGCGGGGACACGTCACTAACCAACTGCCCACCTCCGAAAGAACGGGTCAGCCCACCTTCCGGAGATCACAGGACAGTTGAACTAGGGCGAAGACTACGTTCTGGTCTTCACTACGCCACGTAAGCCCTAGCAGTCACCTGGGTTGGGCCTGGCAATCCAGCCCAACACAAGTGACCGTTGGCCCAACGCTGGGTCTCTCTATAAATACTCTCTTCCTCAAGAGGGTCAGGTAATTCACTTCTTACCCCTTTTCTGTGCTTGTGACCACTCTGCCCATATACTTACTTTGGCATCAGAGTGTTTTGCAGGTGCAACCCCTCCTCCTCCTCATTACCGGTGAACAGACAGCAGTCCAACAGTGTGACCAGCCCGTGATCCCCTTCTGATCAGGTTAGATCAAAAAATATGAGATGTGAAATTCATATTCCTTATACCTTTTATTGATATTAATATTGAACATTTATGCTTTTTATAATCTTTTTGGCAATCCTTATGTACTAAAATATAAGATTTTTTATATTTAATAATGGATCAAAATTAAAATATAAGTAAAACCTAACTAATTTCACTTTATTTAATATTATTATTTTATTCTTAAAATATCCCTCAATAAAACCAGGGCCGATCCAACACTCTACCAGAATTAAAGCAAACTTTAAATTGAGACCTTTTATATTTTAATAAAAAATTTAAATTAAATTATTATAATATATATTTAAAATTTATTTTTCGAGCTTTTTGTAACGCAAAATTATTTATTAAGCTATTATAATTAATTTCAGGTAATATTTCTTTTTCAATCGATAATAAAGTCAATTTATTTAATCTTTGTTGAGACATTGTTCATAGTAGATAAGATTTTATTAATTTTAATTTCAAAAAATTTATTTCTGCTGAAGCAATAATTACAGAGATCATTAACATTATTTTATAAGTATAGTTTTGGGAAGGAGATTAGTCTTATATATTGCAGAGTTGCTTCAATTCAATTGCAATTAAAAAAAATTTTATTTTTGAAAAAAATATTCAATTGAAGTTTAACAATGAAAGAAAAAGAGTTATTATGGTAACATTGAGGTAATAAATCAATTCAATATTTTGCTTTTGAAAAAATATTCAATTGAAGTTTAACAATGAAAGATGAGTTATTATGATAACATTCAGGAAATAAATCTATTTAATATTTAATTATTATAGAAATTATGAAGAGTTAAAACGGTGCAAAACTAAAAAAAATATAATTTTTTTTCACTTATCTGCTGAACAGTTTTAACGAAAATATTAAATTAATAGAAGCCTTTTTATAGGCTTTAATTTCTTTGATAAAAAACTATAAATAAAATAGAAATAACACATTGAAAAAATATAAATATTATTTTGACTACATTAAGAAAATGAAATTAATAATTTAATTTTCATAAATATATATAAATGAATATGAGATTCAAATTCCATATCAGCCTACACAACCCAATCACCTCATGACACCAACTACAACTCTTTCTATTTTTTAATTAAAATAAACAAAAAGCAAAAATGAAAAACACCAATCATAGAGCTCTATTTATAAACATGGCAGAGTAGAAACAGAAGAGAACATGAAGCAAAAAAAACCCTTTTCTCACAACAGTTTCTGAAATTATCAACATTTATCAATTCATCAAAAAAAAATTCATAAACCTTTAACTCCCACTTGCATTATCTCTTTCCCATACACGATCAATTAAAATATAGTTCTTCTACTTTACAAATTACAATGTTCTCTAGTATTATTAAACTACATTATCATCAAATAATGTAATTTAGGACTTAAAAAGAGAGAAAACGCTACGACACTGTTTGTTTCTACGCAACCTTTCATCAATTTCAATATACCCATCACCCTTTTTTCATTGTAGATTCTTCTATCACGTAAGTTCTTCCTTTCCCCTCTTTCTACACATTAATTGTTACTACCCATGTCATAAAAATTCGTTCTTTATTACGGATCCCCATGATGATGATTATTGATTTTTTTTTTAGAAATTAATTATTTGAATTAGTTTTTTTGTTGATTGTTTGAAACCCCTTTTGATCTATTTGATGGGTTTGTTTAAATCTGCATTGTAGTTGAAATTTGATAGTTGGGATATTTTGTTACTATGTTAATATGTTCAATGATTGTTTTTGTTTTTATGGTTTATCAGAGTGATCTATGCTTGGTGATGATGGTTGCTGGATTCATATTGAGGTGTTAGTGTTAGTTGGTTTGAGCTGTGTATGATCTGTTCTTTATCTCTTTATCTCATGTGTTTTTGGAATTTGGGATTAGATAGAGAGATGTACTAGTTTGAAAAGTAGTGTTGTTTGTTGGAGGAAGAGATTGATTGATTGATTGATTAGGGATTTGATTAATCAGGATGGATTTCCAGAATAATCTGCAGCCTGAATTGGGGAAATTGGAACAGATTGTTTATCAATTTCTTCTGAAGTCTTTACACGTAATTTTGGAGTCAAGGGTACCGTTGTTACGCCAACACGATAGAAGTGGTGACCTGTCGGCGGTTTCTCGTGCGAGGAGGAGTGACAAATGGTTTAATTTCGCCTTAGGTGATAGACCGTCTGCTCTTGATAACTTGAACTTCTGGCATAGGAATTTGATGGATCCGATGATAATTGATATTATACTAGTTCATGAAGAGAATGGTTGTTCGGTTGAGACGGTAATAGAGAGGTGGAATGTTCAATATGAATGTCCGAGAAATTTGTCTCCTCAAACTAGTGACACCACTCTCTCTTTCAAGAAAACGTACCAGAAATCGATTATACTGTTTCGCGCTCTTTATTCTCAAATGCAGCATCTCCCAACTCATAAGATTTTTAAGCAACTAAGTGCACCGAATCGCACTTGTAATTTTGATATTGTTTACAAGGTTTCTTCCTTTAGTGATCCGTTTTCTAGGGAAGAAGGAGCGATGATGGGAGAATATGTCTTCACGCCAGTTGACGCGCTTCCAGGTCGCCTTAACGTATCTGTGACTTACCGTACTACATTTTCCGATTTCAACCTTGAGTGTTCAACATCATTACCAACAAAAATAATCACCGATTATGTTGGAAGTCCGAATACTGATCCTTTGAGGTATTTCCCTTCTTCAGGAAAGGGTGTCCGTGCGCCTCCGTCTTCTATGCCACTTGATCGTCCTCATAGCTGGACGCCTGGATTTCATAAAGCAGCGCCTTTTGTACCGAATCATCAGTATGTTGGACCACAACTGGTGCATCATGGTTCTCTCAAGCCATATAATTTTCCATCTTCACCTATTGATAATTTCAATATCAGATATCATAACAATCGAATGCAAAGCCAGTCAAGGTCTCCGAGTTACGATGAGTATCCGCTTTCTCCTCCGTTCTCATCCTCACTGTCTCCATCACCACCTATTCATATTGGCAACACAATGCATACCCGAATGCGCTCTGAAACCGCTCCTGTGACTATACCTCATCCAATAATAAGCAGAAGCTCTAGAAACCTTTCTCCTAATTTTTCAGATCCTAATAGAAACTCCCTGCCACCTTTATCCCCTAGAAGGTATGATGCATCGTCACATGAATCTCCATCAGGAATCAGGTCACTCCGGAGAGTAGAATCTCTAAAGATTGGTCAAAAGGTAACCTTAGTTGGTCCTTCACTTCCACTCCTTATGTTTAAACCAAACGTAGTTTGTTTATCTGTTTGATATAATATAAGCCTTTTCTTTGCTTTTTAGATTGTACGAGACAGCAAGGATGATTCAGGGCGATTCTCAGGATTATTATCGTCAAGTGACTCACCACGTGTTGGAGTTTCTACAACCTCAAGTAGATTATCTTCTCAGGATGACTTGGACGAAGGTGACTTTTCGTGTCCTTTTGATGTTGATGATGTCGACCCTCCAGATGTTCTTTCGAGGTACTTTGATACACTTCACCATTCATTGTGCAATATTTTTCGTATATTCTAACTATCAAAATCATTTTACGGTACAAGAATTCATCTCTAAAAGCGAAGTTTGTCATAACCACTCACTAAATGAGTGTTTACAAGAGCTTATACGGTCTTATCTTTTAACATATGTTCTTGTTTGAGTGTTTACAAACACGACTTATTATGACATGCTCGCAAGATGTTTTCAGCTTATTTCTATAAGCTCTTCAAGTTGGCTTATAGAGCAGTTTATTAAAAGGGTATAGCATACATTATTCTCATTCCTCCTCAATTGTTATTTCTCTTTCCTTGTTTTTGATTTTATCTATATAGCCACAATGTGGAAGGAAAGAGTGCTTTGGGGTCGCCTTCGACATCATTACCAACAGGGAGAAAATCACAAGATGCTGCTGTTGGTGTTCTTGTGCAAATGCTTAGAACAGCGCCTCCTTTGCGCCAAGATTCAAGTTGTTATTCATCGCATTCCCTGAAAGCTGAACTTGACAGAGGAGTTGCTGCTGATTCCGGATTCTTCATCCCTCGAAAGACAACTGACGCACTCGAAGAGCTCAGGAGTTATAGAGAAATGAGAGACCTTCTTGTTTCTAAGAGCGGTGCTCGGTCCTGAAATGAAATGAAACTTAAGCTCAAGTTATATATATAAAACAAGTGCATTGATGGGTTTTTGTACATATATTGACTATATATGAATGGTTAGAAACACCAAAGTTATTATTTTATCATGATTAAAATACTTCTAACTTTTATAATTTTTATAGTCATTATTCTTACTGTTAGAACACTTGACGCCGAAATCTTTAGATCCAATGAATAAGGCATACACTTGCAATACATGGGTGAAATGTTTCTTAGAAAGTCTTGTCTCATTGTGAATTCATGTGTCATGACACTCTTCCAACATTCCATGACTCATGTTTGTTGTAATGTCACAATCTTCATATGTCATGACTACAAGTGTCATCAAAACTAATTACGCTCAATGATACACAAGTGAAACCACATAATAGAGCACCTAGATCAACAAGTCTACTTCTATTCAATTAAACTAATACTAAACAATTATTTTACAGGTCATAATTAAAGTATTTGAGACTTAAATAACATACACAAATAGAGTTATCACAAATGCTTTGCCTAGCATCTCTATCACCTCAAACAATGATATGAGCTTCTTATTCTCTTCTTGGACTTCAACAAGGAGTTGCATAGGGTGTTTCATCTTTTGTAAGAGTTAATTTCTCTATTTTCGCCTTATAATTTGCATCCCAGTGAGAGTGGCTGCATGAAGTGTTAATTTCTTTGTTTTTTTGCTTTATAATTTGTGTCTCAATGAGGGTGGCTGCATGAAGTGTTTTGGGTTTGACATTCTCATTTACTCCCCTCTATCTTTCAAGTAAGTTGGATAAGAGTTTCATCTTTCTCTGAGTCTTAAGTTCCCCGTCATCTCTGTGATCGTGATCTCAATAGAAACTAGCCCTTCGTTCATGTTAATTCTGACTATTATTCTCTTTTCTTTGGGAACATATTTTTCCTCAACTTTGAGAAATGTTAGATCCTTATATCTTTGAACGATTGCATGACTTTGCGTCATTCTAAAATTCTCCAACATGATCACTTCGTATTGCTATGATTCTTAATCCTTTTTCGTTATGATAACCCTGACGAATTTTCAAAAGGCAATAAACATGTCTCATCTCTAAGACAAGAATAATGCAGGTATAGCAAAAGTAATCATCCACAATTACAAGAACATAAAGATTATTGTCAAAACTCTTGGTTCTAGATGGGGCAAAAGATTATTTCTTCTATTATATGGTTGATAGTCCCAATCTAGATGGGGTTACTCTGGCTAAACTTACCCAAATTGAGGTTGAATCTCTTTCTATTAAATTTTTACATTTGAAGGTGGACTTCGTGATGTTTGAGTTAGATGGACATAAGAGTTCGGGTCAAGGTGATTTTAATTTGTATTCTTACAAGAGGTTCTACGAGATTATTAAATATAATCTATATGTGATCTTTGATCAGTTTTTTGTTAATGCAGTTTTTCCTAAGAGCTTATTATCGTATTTTTGTTATGTCAATACCAAAGGTTTTGTTTAATCATTTTCAATGATCATAAGCTCTTTAAACTTTAGGGGGTTAAGAGGAAGCTTCAAGAAGAGGAAGGTTTGATTTATGGTTAGAGATTCTTATTCAACTTTGTATATCTATTCAACATGTTAAATTAAGGGAGGTAGATGAGGTTTTGTGTCATTCTCTTGGGATAACTAATTATGTGTGTGATTTGATTTTCAGCCCAGCTATAGGTAATAATGATTTTGTTCTTTCTGTTTGTTGCAGTTCGAAAAGGGAGACAATGTTCTCCTTTTTTGGTTAGGGGTATCTTAGTATTTTCCTGGAGTTGGGTGTGCTTCCTAAGGTTGGTTTTGTGGTCAATCTTTATGATCAATGTTCTTTAGTGGGAAATAGGTTGATGTGAGCTCATTTTGTTTAGGTTAAAAATCGGTTTTGGGTTGGTTTATGGTGTTGCACTTGGGAATTTTAATGTAGTTCTTAAATCAGAGGAGAGGCGTGGGTGAGATTGGGCCCTCATTTAGCTGGTATACTAAGATGCAAAATTTGGGTTGTTTATCGAGGAGGTAGGGTCAATAGACACGACGTTAATATGTTGGAGGTTTACCAGGTACCATTCTAATGAGGTTTCTAAGAGTACGTTATACCAAATTATAGTTTCAGTAGAGTGAGAGCATAAGCAGGGCTTTAGGATTTTCTAAGCCTTACCTAGGGATGTTTCAGAAATAGTCCCAATGTTTCTTCTACTATATGGTTTAATTAAAACAGACCATAAAGTTTACTTTATTTTGAAATAAAATAACCATAATATCATTGTACATTCCATAACATGCCATAACAGTGGAAATCATAAGTTGTTGATACCATAAAACCAATTAATATTATATCAAAAGATCAGTTGCATATCAGACCATATCACAACTGGTTCATAACATACCATAATCAGTTTCATAAATAGTTGAAACCATAACTTGTTGATACCATAAACAAGATGATTTGCATAAAACCAGTTGATATTATATCAAAATATCATACTGGATCATATTACAACGAGTTCATATCATTTCATGACCAAATTACAATTTGTTCATAACAGACCATATTGGTTCATAATAGGTCATATTATATCAAAAAGATCATGGTTCATAAATAGATCATATTATAGCTAAAAATGATGGTTCATAACAGACCATATTCATAACGGAGTACTAAACAATATAATATAAACCTAACATACAACATACCATAACATAAAATAGACCAATAGGCATTATGAAACAACACTGCATTTAATCTTAAGTAGCTTGAGGTGCTTGAGAACCCTGTCTAATTTTAGCCTGATTTTTACTTGACTTTTTCTTTTCTTTATCACCCTTATTGGTCTTTGTTTTCTTTGCTTTGTTTCCTCCCTTTGGTATTGCTCTTTTACCTTTACAACTTCTCTTGTTATGACCCATTTCTCCATATTTCTTACAAGTAATTTTGTAAGTCTCCTTGAAAGCACATAAGGGTTCTTTGACTCATCATTTGCCTTGTTTCTCAGCTTCTTTGGATGACCAATTGTTCGTTTCATAACAGGATGATATATTGGTACTTGACCAACTTTAGGCCAAAATTCATCTCAGTTACCTCTCTACCAACATACCACTTAACATGTTCAGAAACTAATTTTTTTTTCTATGGTGTATTCTTAACCTAACCTTATTAGTTTGACTTGGCCTTAAAATTTATTGAATACATATGGAATAAGTTAACATTCAGTGGGACCACAATAAAACATTAAACAAACATGGTGGACTACAAAATTAGAATAATACACGTAAACAAGAAACAACTATAGGACCACAACAAGTTCATGTGAATGAAAAGGACAGTGGACCACAACTAAGCACACAACACGCAAAAACAAAAAAAAAACAACAACTGGGACATGGTGACACTCCAATGAGCACAAGAAAAGATACCTTAAACAAAACTTCACTTGTCTACTAGTCATATTCGCCAATCCTGGGTACGAAATGTTGCAACTGTGAGCTTCATGTTTAATGTTTGAATTAGTGTGATTGAGTTGAATTAGGGTTTCTTGTGTTCTTCTTCAGAGAGAGAGAGAAAGAAAAATGTAATTATGATTCAAAAGGGAATTGTGCCTTCTAGTTTACAACATTTTCATTTTATATTGTTTAAAAGTAAATTAAAATGATTTACATAAATTATAAATATTTTATAAAATAAAATATAAGTAAATATCATTAAAATATTCACACACAAAAATAACATAAATCTACATCATTAATGAGCATGCCAAGTGTTCAAAAGTGAAGGGAGACCATAAAAATTTCAAAGAAAGTAAATTTAACATGAGCATGCCACATGTTAAAAAACCCACAAATAAAAAATATATATGAAAAAAAACAAGGGTAATGCTAACTTGTGTCCTTGGGGCACAAGTTAAAAAACCCACAAATAAAAATTGTATATGAAAAAAAAAAAAATTATTAATTATAAATATTAAATTTATTACATAATTTTCAAAAATTATTTTCATATTTATCTCTTAACTTGTGCCCAAAATTAACGTTACACTAAAAAAAACTGATCAACTGAATTTTTAGAATGCTGTCGGGACGAATATATTGATTTTATGGTGGTTCAAGACATAAATAATTGGATAGAGAAATGGATGTATTATCTCAATTGAATTTTAAATAGGGCCGAGACTAATTACAACCTAATTAAAAAACTAAAATTGTATCTATATGATTCATCTACCCAACTCAATTATTATATATTTATATCTTATTGTTAGAGTCATCTCAAATAATTTGAAAATTCTATACCAAATTTAAAAATCAATCTTTAATAAAAAAAAGCTATGAAAAGAATTTAAAATGAGTCATGTTTTATTTTAGTAATAAATAACATTAAAAACTTTAAAATAAAATAAAAAAACAACAAATAATTTATAAATATTTCAACTCCGAGGTAAACAACGTTCTTGCAATTGACATTGAATGCATTTACTTTTTAAAATTGTAGTTTTATTTTCTTTTACATATATAACCAAAAAAATATTTTATTGAAAATTTGACTCATACAAATATGATTTTTGTATTTTTTTTTTATTTCATGTGAAGTTTCTCAATATATAGAGAACTTCATATACTTTTATAAATAAAAAATTAATTCTTTAAACATTTACTTTAATGTTAATAACAAAGTATTTTAATTAATAAACAAATAAATATTAAAGTAGTAAAATATGAGAATATTTTACAATTCTTTTATTTTTTATGAATCTTATAAATCATTAGAGCAATTATAACTATGTAATAAATTTATAATAAATAAAAAAATATTTAAACAATTTTATTTAAATATATTATTAAAATAATAAAACTTTCAAAATTTTAAAATTTTATTAAAGTTGATATATTAGTACGAACAAAGTCCAACTAACTAAAAAATTATACTTATAAATACTACGCTAGACTATACTAACATTTATTTAAAAATATTTTAAATTTACTAATT